CATTCTTCTTCTGAGGCTCTCCGATCGATCCCCCTTCGCCCCATAGGCCTTTGGGGGACCTTTTGGCAGAAGGCGGCTGCCGATGATCCGAAGGGGATCGCTGCATCTTTGAGCAACGTCCCTCTCGGACTCCGCTCCCTTCCGTCACTCCCCTGTTTTATTTGTACCTGCAACCGAAGACACCGCTCCGCCAATGACAGCCCTCCGAGCTCGTTCAAAGTCTACAGATAGCTATGGCAGCACAGTAATAAAAGTTTGTTTTGCACGGTAATAAAAGGCGCAATAAATGGAGAGAATTGGCAGGTGCTTATTTCCCCTCCCATAGCCTTCACAGTGCTTATCTTCCGTGCTTCTGAGACTAGCTACGTGTTCTAACCAGATCTTTGGGGGTGCGGTGCATGTCTGCTGCAGGAATCTAACCTGGAGGATCATGAGACTGGAGCTGGGGCTCTCACTCAACGATAGAGGGTCAGCTGATGTTGCAGCCCAATCTGGGCAAAATGATTCCTAGCCAGGATTTCAAGCAGTCCTCCAGTGGGAAGGGGCAGGTTTCAATGGAGAGAAGAGTCTAAGCCCCTCCCTCAATTAAACAGTCTCCCTGGAAATGTTAGTCTTACCTTATTTTTATCTTTTGTTGAAAATCTTTGGAAAGTTATCCCACTCTTGAAACGAAATTGTGGGCAGTTTACACAGAACAAACACCAATATATACGCTTCAGGGAAACATCATAAAACCAAAAAAGAATAAAGGGGAATAAAAAAGAGATCACACATCCTTCCACTCTGACCTACCCAGTGCTTGGGGGAACAGGCAGGTCGTGTGTGCCCTCTAGAATTTTATTTTTTTTAAAAACAGGGGAGGCTTCTGCATCTTCGGGGGGGGGGGAGAAGTTGTTCCCTGAGGAGGGGCTCCAGCACCTGGAGGCAAAATACCAGAAGAAGACTGGAGAGAGGACTGCAGACTTAGCTCCAGGGATGGCTTGGAGAATAAATTTCATAGAGACTAAAAGAATAGCTCTTCACTCTTTGGGCCTGTTGCTCCCCAAAGCCCCTCAAAGGGACCCTCTCTCTGGGAGATGTAAAGGAGGCTCCCCTTCACAGTCCCCCAAAAGATTGTGACCCTCCTTCTCCAAAGATGGAAACTTTGCTCCCAAGGGCCGTGGCAATGGCTGAATAACCCCAGCCTCACCCTAGAGCCCGTTTATCTTTCAGCTAAGATGCCAGAATGACCCAGATTTGGCATCTCTTGGGCTCTATTCACATGACACCCTTAGGCTCAAATGCCCCAGTCATGTAGCTGCTTCTTTGCCTGGTGAGAAGCTTCTGGTGATTTCATGCACAATTGGCAGGGATC